TAATCAAACTTTTTAGCGTTTGAGCCGCCATGTTTCCTGCCAGGTAAATGACGCTCCGCAACGTGGTGACGTCATTCGGGGCGACTGGAATCGATAAGGGAATCGTTTGCAAAAATGGCAAACGATTCCAAGGAATTGAAACAGTGGGAACCGGTTCTCAACAAGAACCGGTTTTCGATACCCATCCCTAGTCAAAATGGTGTAATTTAGGTCATTGGGTTAAAAACAATACACGTAAAAGATTTAAAAGTATTTGAGAAAGAGATCTGGATTGTACTCTTGATGAGGGAACATGGAATTCAATTATTTCTGAAAATGGGCTTTAAATCAGGGAAGCTAGAGGTAAATTTATCCTATATAAAATTCTCAGCAGGTACTATTACATACCAACGAGACTTCATAAAATGTGCATGAGTAAAGATGACGTGTTGGAAATGCCAAGAAGCAAAAGGTACTCTGCTGGATGCTTTGTGGGAATGTCCAGTGGTCTTCCCAATATGGGAAATTGTTTTAAAATACATGGAGAGCTGGGACAAATGTAAATTACAGAAATCACCAAGATTGTGCCTACTGGGGGACAGGGGTGAGGTGCCACATCTAGATAAAGTAGGCGAGTGTTAAACACTGGGCTTGTGATCTGTGTTCGTCTTATTTTAACACCGTTGAAAGAATCTCAACCCTGAATGTGTGGAGGGAGAGAATGACTAAAAATGTGGCATGTGGGAAAATGCTGGGAAGACTGAGCTGCAAAACACAGATTCTAGTAGAACAATGGGACAGTTTTTGTTTGTATGTATCTAGAGCATCAGGGTAAGTTATAGTTTGGATCAAGTGTCTTGTGTGTGCAACAATAATCAAGCACTGGTTGATCCCTCTGGTGTCTCTCCTGGAATTTCTAAATATGAACTTCTTAGATCAAATCTTCTGAACTGCTCATCTGACAGGAGACAAAGGGAAGAACCACTTATCTATTCTGAACAACCCATTGTGACGTCTAGTCACCGTTGTTCACATCTATCACCCGATGTCCAGCTACATCCTGTTATCCTCTCTCTTACTTTTCTACATACATGATTTAAAACAAAGTTGAAACTTTAAAATCACTTCATTACATTTTCTTCTTTTCTATGTTGTCGTGTAACATGACTTCTTAGTAATTCCCATTTGAACATTCAGTTACATATGGATGCACTTCACTTCATGTCTCACATGAACATCCATCTGCACATCTTTTTATTTCCAATGCTTGGGAATACTTTTTCTCTTCAAAACTCTGTGAATATAATTTCTTTTATTAAATCATACACCTCAAAGTCAAGCATTATTTTAGAGTTACCTTAGAGTCGGACAACCCACCCCAATCTACAGTGATGTTGGCCATGTTTTCAGACTGACAGCACTTCAAGTCCAGTGACGCTGAAGGAGGACAAATTGAATTCTGGGGTTGCTGTGCCATCAAATGTCACCTTGTTGCGGTTTAGAATGTGATACAAATTTCAAATGAACTCTTGTTGCCTCCAAGAAAACGTCAGCTTTGCTCAGAATATCTTTACATATCTTTGCTCTGTGATTTTCAGTGGACTTTTTCAAAAACACAACCTGCTTATGTGTAGCATCTGTTTTCTTAATTTTTTTGCTCTGGGGGAATATAATAATCTTTAAAATAATGTTGTGGCTGATTATTATTTAAATAATAATCCTTACTATCTTCTTTTCTGACTTTGCTCTCAGTATTGGTGGCACAGCACCGATCGTCTACTCGTACTTCTCAGAATTCCTTCAGATGAACAAGAGAGGAGAGCATCTGTCCTGGTTGTGTATGTTCTGGATGATTGGTGGGATCTATGCTTCATTCACTGCCTGGGGAATTATACCCAGATATGGTAAGACTGTTTTAAAAATGAAAAAGGATACTTTACATTCTTGCTTGTGAGCAATACTGACCAGTGAGTGCATTCACACCTTTGGTGGATGTGGTTCAGGAGAAAATGGAGCTAGACTTCTTATTGAATTGCTGTGGTTCAGCCTCTTACTATGCCAGTCTACATGCCACGTATATTTTTAAACACTGGTTGTAACCTTTGAATAAGAGTGGAAAAATATTGATATATTCATTGCTCTTTAGATAGATTTATGATACATTTCTACTTCTGACAGTTTGAAGTAAAACCTTAGTATTTTTCTCAAAACTTGTAAACAGTGATTTGTGTGTGTGTGTGTG